CTGAAATTCTTTTTGACTATAAGGTCCACAGATTCGGAAAGTACTCCTCGAGAACTTTCATTTGTGCCCAGCCTTGACACCGCTTCATTTTTAGTTTCTGTTCTGTGGATGCTTTTATCTGCAATTTCCATAAAATTGAGCGATAATTCTTCAGAAAATACAAAAAACTCCTAAGTCTGAAATTCTTTTTGACTATAAGGTCCACAGATTCGGAAAGTACTCCTCAGGACCTTCCATTTGTGCCCAGCCTCGACACCGCTTCATTTTTAGTTTCTGTACTGTGAACCCTTTCATCTGCAATTTCCCTAAAATTGAGCGATAATTCTTCAGAAAATGCAAAAAATTCCTAAGTCTGAAATTCTTTTTGACTATAAGGTCCACAGATTCGGAAAGTACTCCTCGAGAACTTTCATTTGTGCCCAGCCTTGACACCGCTTCATTTTTAGTTTCTGTTCTGTGGATGCTTCTATCTGCAATTTCCATAAAATTGAGCGATAATTCTTCAGAAAATGCAAAAAACTCCTAAGTCTGAAATTCTTTTTGACTATAAGGTCCACAGATTCGGAAAGTACTCCTCAGGACCTTCCATTTGTGCCCAGCCTCGACACCGCTTCATTTTTAGTTTCTGTTCTGTGGACGCTTTTATCTGCAATTTCCATAAAATTGAGCGATAATTCTTAAGAAAATGCAAAAAATTCCTAAGTCTGAAATTCTTTTTGACTATAAGGTCCACAGATTCGGAAAGTACTCCTCGAGACCTTTCGTTTGTGTCTAGCCTCGACACCGCTTCATTTTTAGTTTCTGTTCTGTGGATGCTTTTATCTGCAATTTCCATAAAATTGAGCGATAATTCTTCAGAAAATACAAAAAACTCCTAAGTCTGAAATTCTTTTTGACTATAAGGTCCACAGATTCGGAAAGTACTCCTCAGGACCTTCCATTTGTGCCCAGCCTCGACACCGCTTCATTTTTAGTTTCTGTACTGTGAACCCTTTCATCTGCAATTTCCCTAAAATTGAGCGATAATTCTTCAGAAAATGCAAAAAATTCCTAAGTCTGAAATTCTTTTTGACTATAAGGTCCACAGATTCGGAAAGTACTCCTCGAGAACTTTCATTTGTGCCCAGCTTTGACACCGCTTCATTTTTAGTTTCTGTTCTGTGGATGCTTCTATCTGCAATTTCCATAAAATTGAGCGATAATTCTTCAGAAAATGCAAAAAACTCCTAAGTCTGAAATTCTTTTTGACTATAAGGTCCACAGATTCGGAAAGTACTCCTCAGGACCTTCCATTTGTGCCCAGCCTCGACACCGCTTCATTTTTAGTTTCTGTTCTGTGGACGCTTTTATCTGCAATTTCCATAAAATTGAGCGATAATTCTTAAGAAAATGCAAAAAATTCCTAAGTCTGAAATTCTTTTTGACTATAAGGTCCACAGATTCGGAAAGTACTCCTCGAGACCTTTCGTTTGTGTCTAGCCTCGACACCGCTTCATTTTTAGTTTCTGTTCTGTGGATGCTTCTATCTGCAATTTTCATAAAATTGAGCGATAATTCTTCAGAAAATGCAAAAAATTCCTAAGTCTGAAATTCTTTTTGACTATAAGGTCCACAGATTCGGAAAGTACTCCTCGAGACCTTTCATTTGTGCCTAGCCTCGACACCGCTTCATTTTTAAATATTTTATTCTCGATTTAAATGTAGAGTTAAGGGTTTCAAAGTTTTTCAACGTAAATTTTAATTAGGTTTTTATTTAGCGATTTGATTTTAAATTTGAAATTTGTAGGGAAAATTATGAAATTTGATGAAAACTAATATAATTTAGTTTACCTTTAATTTTCTCTGGTTTACTACTCCCTCTCTCTATCTCTTCCTCTCTCTCTTTCTCTCTCTCTCTCTTTATTAACCCTTTGTGAACCGGAGAAAAAATCACCTTGGTTTGTGTCTTTGCTAATTAAATTTAAATTTATCTTGACGGACATCTACTTCTTAAGGTTATTATATATTAAGTTTGTCATTCCATTTGTAACACCTCGAAATATACATTTTAGACCCTACAAAGTATATACAGGGTTGCCCATATTCGATGGAACCATCTGGCAACGCCATAACTTTTGACAGAGATGTCACATCGCTTAATGACATACCGCGTTTGAAGCTTCAGTCCAAGCAGATTTGTACCATGAACCAATACACGTCACGCGAAATATTTGAAATTTACATTCAACAGAAGAAGTCAATTGTGAAAACTTTTAAAACATTAAAAAATGTGAGAAGTGCGCCTTCTAAGAACACCATTGAGCGTTTATACGAAAAATTTTCCACTGGTAAGGCTCTTTCTAATCCGAAGAGGCCATATAAAAGTCGACCAAGGCGATCGGCCGAGAATATCGGTGCCGTACGAGCCAGTGTTGAGAGGTCCCCAAGAACATCCCAAAAACGCCGTTCTCAGCAGTTGGGCATGGCTCGGTCCACTTTACAACGGATTATTCTCATTGATTTGCATTCGTTCCCGTACAAAATTCAATTGACGCAAAGAATGTTGCCTGCGGACAGGCCTCGTCGATTGGATTGGGCCCAAAGGTCCGTCGAATATGGGTAACCCTGTATATTCTTAATCAGCATAAAATTCTATGTCGATTTAGCTATGTCCGTCCGTTTGTCCCTCTATCCGTCCGTGGAAATCCCTCTAGCTTCCGAACGAAATGAAAATGGGCCATGTAGGTCCACGTCTTCGTATAGACCGCATATAACGGTACCTCCGGATATTCGGTATTTTGATGATTTTAGCTACATTATTAACCTGAATTGTTTCAAATTTGTTATTTGAAGCTCGTAATTGATACTACGGCCTATGATAGAATATTGTATGTGCAGGTCCACGTCTTCGTATAGCCCCCATATAACTTTACCTACCAATATTCGGTATTTTGATGATTTTAGCTACATTATTCACCGGAAATGGTTTAAATTTGGTATTTGAATTTCGTAATGGATTGTACAGCCTAAGACAGATTATTGTATATGCAGGTCCACGCCTTCGTTTAGCCTCCATACAACAGCACCTCCCGATATTCGGTATTTTGATGTTTTTAGCTATATTATTCACCGGACTTGTTTCAGGTTTGGTATTTGAAGTTTGTAATATATTGTACAGCCTGAGACAGAATATTGTATGTGCAGTGTTGCCCTTTCATTCAGTTTTCGCGGTTTTCAATTATTTATTCAAAATAAATGCAACAAGTTGTTTGATATTTTATTGTTTCGATACTAATTCTGACATTACAAGCCAAACAGGTAGATCTCAATACTTGCAATTTTTTCAAAGTTGACCTACCTTCTCTTCGTTGTACCATGTTTTTATGAGTTTAGCTACAAGTTTCGCATTTGAATATTGTAATGGCTTTTGACAAAAGTTGCCTATGCAGTTCCACGTCGTCGGTATTTTTAATATTTTATTAGAATTTTTAACGGATTTTTTTCTTTTTTTTTTTGTAAATTGCTAAATTTGTTCCGATTGGTGTAGGGTATTCAAAGTTCGGCTCGAATTTACTGCTTTTTAACTTGTTTAGGTTTGTTTATAAAAAACAGTTTGTGAGCCTTGGTTGGTCTCTTTGAATGAAAACCGTTTCAGGACCAGGTTGGTCGATCACTGACTCAGACTATAGATATTTATATTATTTCTGAACAGTTTTCATCTATTGAATGTCTGGGAAATGGTTTCACAGGACATTTTTGGCTAAGTCAGAGTCGGAGTATACCTAGTCCATCTGACCGCCCGTCTATCCGTCTGGACAGCTCTGGGGTACATCATAACCCCCAAAGGGGAACTATATCTGATTTGGTCCAAACTGGGTAAATTGTAATATTTCTAGCAAAAGTATATTAAGCCTCGGAATGGCTATGTCGTTGGACATCATAAAAAAACCCCTTTTGGACGAGATTAACTAGCGAGATGTCAAACCTCTCTATTCATCGACATACAGTATAACAGATAAAAACTAATTTAATCAATTTTTAATACATGAAAGACATATCTCTGTGAAATTATTGTTGGTCAAGAAGTAGTACCGCCTATGCTGTTGAACCCACATAGAAAATTTAAGAAAATATGAATACAGGGTGAGATGAAAAGCTGCAACCAACTTCAGACTGCTGTCATTACTAAGCCACTCGTCCGACATTCCATTATTCCAGTGACAGCTTATTATATTATTTAAAAGATTACAAAAGCATTTTGGTGAGAATTTTTCAGAAAAAAAGTTATTCGTGATGAAATTCAAGCGTGATAGTGGGATTTTTATATATTTGTCTGGAAAACCACAAATTGCTATCGTTAGAGCACTCCAGTATTTAAATGTGAATAAATCATTTGTGTCTCTTACTATCGCTCGTTACCGTGATACTGGTAGCGTAGCCCGAAGTGGACGGAAGAAAACAGCAACATCAGCAGAAATGGTTCGAAAAATGGCTCGTGAGCTGAACATATCGCAATTCGGGCAGCGTGTGACGGTTTCATCTGTCCTAGACTGTAGTACCCAGTAGTGTCTTCAAATACGAAATTTGAAACAATTCCGGTTGCTAAAATCGTCAAAACAACGAATATGGGGAGGTAGGGTTATAGGAAAGGTATTTCTTAATGGGAACAAATTTTACCTAAAATTGTTACTAAAACAGCCAAAAAACCATAAGTTTGTCGGTAGAGTTATATGGGTGCTATACGAAAACATCCACCTATATAGCCCATTTTCCATACCAAAAGTCCTGGAAAACTAACACACATCTGAGTAAAATTTTATCAACCCACTTTGTTTCGTTCGGAAGCTAGAACCATTTCCATAGACCGATATTTCCCCCGTCGCGGTATTCACCTTACTATGGGAGACCCATCTAGCGGTCGGTTTCATTATTAAATAACTGTTCTCATTTCTATACGGTGTATTTCACCTTAGCTATTCAATACTCACCCCATCTCATTTCGTTTTTTTCCCATCCCATAGAAACACTCAAAGCAAGAATACAGTTCCACCACTGTGGAGAGTACAACATCGCCATCTAGTAACTATAGTGAAGAACCATCACTCAAGCAGGCAACTCTCCACGGGCAACCACAACAGTTGTTGGTAAAGACACAAACCAGTCAACAACAACCGCCTCCCTTAACAATGGCTGCAGAACCAAAATCGCAAACTATGACTGCTGCCAGCACTGCTTCGCAAGATGATGACGACGACGACGAGGAAGATGATGAATATGTAAGTACTTCGTCTGTATTTAATAATTGAAGTAATTAATGTGCAATTTTACTTTTTCTTTCAAGGATCAATCCGAAAGACGTGTTGGCTTTCAAGTTGAACATGATGATGAAGAAGATTTCCGCAACAGACCACCGAAACTACATAGACGGTAATAAAATTAAAAAAAAAAAATATATTTTTAATTGTGGCGAATTTTATTGATATTTTCATTTTGATTTTTTGTTTTCATAGGGACACCCCTCATCATCTGAAAAATAAACGCGTCCAACATGGCATCAGCAACAAAAAAGATCATGAAATCCTAACCAATGCTCTGCAACAGGAAAAGAAAGTACAACAGTTGCCCACTGTTGTACAATCGCCCATTGCTGAGAATCCCTCAGAAATAGAACCAGAATCCCAAGGGAACAATCTCCCAGCTCCCTTTGATGCATCGCTGTCGCCCATTGCCGTTAAACCGCAAGCAGCAGAAAGCGCCCAAACCACAGGGGCGGCCATCAGTGCTGATGGTGAGTACGCACAACAAAAATTACAACTCAATGCCAATTGAGTTAATTATGGTGATGGGTCATAAACGTGTTATTTTTCTTATTTTTATTTTGCTTTAAAATCACAAACAACAGTATAATTCTTCCCCTCCATCCTGATTTCCTTTCTGCTATCCCCAAATGAATTTTCTATTTTATAAAACAAAGCCATATTTATATTTGAAAGTGAACTACAGAAGGTTCCCTCATCATGACCATTGGAAGTGAAGTATGGTGACGGACAATATTCCTCCTTTTTGTTTTATTTTTAATATTTATTTCTTAATTAGTTAAGCTTATTGTGTTTTTTGTTCAGTTTGTAATTATTTGGTTTTTTTATTTGAAATTTTCTTTATTTTGCTTAAGTTAATGTTTTTTTTATTGTAAGAAGTATTATTATTTGTTTTCTTAGATTATTGGATTATTTTATGTGTTTATCACACCACTTCTTTTGTTATATTTTCTCTTTTAACTTATTATAGTTAATTGTTGTCCACATTCTTATAATTTTTAATAAATAAATGAATACTATTTATTTTACATTTTTGATTGTAATTTTAGATTTCTTTTATTTTTTCAATATAATGGAATTTGAAATACGTTTTCTAACAGAAACCCAAAGACATTTTTTCCATATAAAAATAAATTCCTTTTATTTAACTGTAAGAAGAGTACCTTAGTGATATATGACAGTTTTGTTTTCATAAAAAATGACATAGTTACTGAACATTTTACAGGGATTCAGTTTCTGAGGGTCATTTAAAATGAAGGGTATATTAGTTTTCTTATTTAGTTTGTTACTCGTATTACCGTATTTTTTTTTAATGATAAAACCAGTGAATGAGCGATATGCTATATTTGTGGGTGCTCTCTTTGTTTTGCCCGTAAGTTTTACCTGATAAACTTTACACAATAAAGTACATGTTCTGCAACATAATTTAATTTGGAGTCCCCATGGAATATACCTATATATTTTAGATACGTGTACAATTCCGGTCATGACCGTTTATAAGCCTTTTGGAGTTAAAATGGTTGGATTGACACCTATTTAGTGGAACAAACTCGGAGATGGGCAATATCGCTCCACTCTCTGTTACATTTTCCACAAAAGGTCAAAGATTACAAAGATAATAACTTACCTCATAGAATGAAAAGGTTCAAAAATAAAGAATATCGGACCAATCCTTCTTCCAACTCCCTCACAAACGGTTAAGATTATTATATTTTTAATCCGCTATGATCTAGTGCCCACGACGCTCATAAAATATGAAATGTTCATTCCATTAATTTCTAACTTGGCACATCCCAATATTTCTTACAACACAAGACCGCCATCATTTTTTTTTATTTTTATGGAATGAAAGCAACAAATGTCGGAAATAGCATCAAATTTTAGTTTAGTTTTAGATTTGTTCGAATTGGTCACCTTTGGCACGAATTATGGCCCTCAAAGGGCCAATGAAATTGTCACGCACTGCCCGAATGTTGCTCTGCGGTATTTTGACCCATTTACGGCAAAGCGCTTGCTTGATGTGATCGACACTTTGGTACTTTCTGGTGCCAACCTTGCTTTCCAAAATACTCCAGACACAATGGTCCAACGGATTGGTACCCGGAGATTTTGGCTTCCATTGTGCGCTGGAAATTAAGCGAAGAATCTCATTTTGTAGCCATTCTTGGGTGGCGCGTGCTGAGTACGATGGTGCTGAGTCCTGTTAGAATGTCCAAGGTCTGCGGCCAAAGTGTTTGCGTGCCCAAGGCTTTAATACACCCTCCAGATTATTTTCGCGATAATATTTGGCATTAATTCTGATGCCACGGTCGATTAATACGAGCGGAGAGCGACTATCAGCTGTTATGGCGGCCCACACCATCATCATGGCCGGCGCTTGAGTTCTGGTGGCCAACCGAAGGTGCACATTTTTAGCTGACCTCTTTGGCAAGTAAACACGATCATTTTGTTTGTTTACAAACTGCTGGGCAACGAATGGTTTGTCCAATCGAAGCAACTCTTTAGCTCTTTTGCGTCTATTTTCTTTCTGTTGCGATGTAAATTCTTGCACTTTTTGGAATTTAAAAGACTTTATCCCGAGCTCATTTTTCAATATTTGCCGAATGGAATATTGCGATATGTTCAGCTCACGAGCCATTTTTTTTTTGGCCAATGCAACGCGGTTTTCGATCAAGTCGCTTTTCTACTTTTCGAACCATTTCTGCTGATGTTGCTGTTCTCTTCCGTTCACTTCCTTGACGTCGGGCTACGCTACCAGTATCACGGTAACGAAAGTACGAGACATAAAGGATTTATTCACATTTAAATGCTGGAGTGCTCTAACGATACCCACTTGTGGTTTCCAGCAAAATATAAAGAAGTCACACTATCACGCTTGAATTCCATCGCGAATAATTTTTTTTCTGGAAAATTCTAACCAAAATGCTTTTGTACGCTTTTAAACAATATAATGAGCTGTCACTGGAATAATTTTAACAGCTGTCGGACGAGTGGATTAGAAATGACAGCAGTCTGAAGCTGGTTGCAGTTTTTTCATCTCACCCAGTATATTCTTTAAAAAAATTTCTGTCACAGAAAAAATACCTGAGTCGCTGAAGACTAATATTTTATAGGAAAATACTCAGTCACTGAGTAAAAAATTTACCATTCTTGTATAACGTATAGGAAAAAGACGTAAGTAATTGAAGACTGATTTGTTCTTTGAATAAAAGCGTTCAGTCCATGAAGAAGGATCCCCGACCCCGACTTTTTTTTATAAAAAAATACCTCAGTCAATGAAGACTGATTCTTTTTCTTTTGAAAAAAAATCCGAAGTTTCTGAGAATTGATTTTTTTTCTATACAAAATCCTCTACCGCAGAAGAAGGATTTTAGGAAAATTGGCGCAGTGGACCCATATTTTATAGGTCATATACTCGGCCACATAGTTACAAATTGATTTGTTATTGAAGACGGATAGGAAAAAAATCTTTGAAAAAAGCGCTGAGTAAATGAAGACAATTGAAGAAATGAAATTTCTCGTTTATTGAGAACTAACTTCTTCTAATTTCCAATGTTTTCAACAATCAAATCAATCATTTGTCTTATTTTGATCCATGAAAATTAATATTTCATATTTAATGACAAGACAGTTCAAAACCCATTGACTTATGAACCAAACCAGACCATGGCTGTTGGAACCCCCAAAGAAATAAAAAAACCAACCTCAACAAGTGGAAAAATGTAGAACAAACTACAAAGACATCATTTAACATTTTTTTATCATTTATTACGTTTTATTTTTTCTGTTGTTTTTTATGTCTTGTGTTGTTGCTATTGGGAATAGACCCATTGCTGCAGCTAAAAGAAATTGTACAACAACATCAACAACTGCAAAAGAAAAACTATTGAACACTTGCCATAAAAGTAATTGCCACAAAAACGATGATAATGACGACGGCGATGATGATGATGATAACGACTAAGTGCTCACTCGCTCAACTTTCGTTGCAATGCCCCTTCTTCTTCACACCTGATCATCAAAGTTCAAAGTTGTTGATTTGTAGTTCATAACCTGGCCGATGTGGCGTGTGCACACACATTGCATGCCGCCTAGGCTGGCTGGCTGGTCTGGCTGTTTGCTGCCACTGTTCAAGTAGCGATGATTACCAACCAAGACCTGGATAATATCAAGACAAACATCTCCCTCATCGATAAATGACATATGGTGGCTTTGTTCGTGTGGCGGCATGCTACCAATTGTTATCGATTGTTTGATTTGGAAATTGTGCAAATGTGTGTGTGGGTGGGGGATGGGGGAGGGTGGAGGTTTAGGGAATTATTTCTGTTCTTTGTTCGTGCTTTGTGTTGGCACACAAGAAAAAAGAAGGAGAAGAAGATGAGGAAATCAATAAACAAATACTGTTTGAGTTGATGTTCGCCATGCAACAGTTCCACATGCTTAACATGGTGGCATAATGGGGGAAACGAGTCCCCTTTCCATACCCAACAAATATTTCACAAAAGAAGACATGCTTCCTGACTCATCAGATTACCTACCATCCAATTGGAAATTGCACTACCAAGAATTGTTTGTTGTTATTTTCCGGCATGTAACTCGTTTCAGTTATGTGACAAGAGATATATTTTCCGTCACACTACTTCTGGATGGTTCAATGTTTTTTTATTCTTCGTTTTTACATTTCTGCGCAAATGTTTATTTGTTTATTTTGTATTTCTATGTTTTCATTTCTTTGTTATTCAAAAAAAAAAAAAAAAAAACATAAATATTGGTAAAACACGGAGGGTGTTACCACGGTTTCGGGAATAAAGGTATCACTTAGGACTGATTTTTTATCCCCTCCACCATAGTATGAAGGTTATATTAAGTTTGTCATTCCGTTTGTAACAACTCGAAATATACAATTTAGACCCCAGAGAGTATATATATTCTTGATCAGCATAAAATTCTATGACAGAAAATTGTCTGTGCAGGTCCACGTTTTGCTATACACCATGTAATAGTACCTCCCTATATTCGGTATTTTGAGGATTTTTATGATGAAAGTCCACGTAGTCGTGTAGACGATAATGTAACGGCTACATTCGGTATTTTTTAGATTATAACGGATTTTATTTTTTTGAAAATTGTACAATTCGTTCCAAATGGTGGAGGATATTCCAACGCACACCTTTTTTTATATAAAAAAATTCTCAGCCGCTAAGGACTGATTTTTTCTATAGAAAATCCTCAGTATCTGAGCACTGCTTTTTTTTCTATAGAAAAAATCCTTACTCACTGATGACTGATTTTTTTCTATAGGAAAAATTCCTCAATCACTGAAGACTGATTTTTCTATAAAAAAGGTGTAAGTTCAGCCGGGCCGAACTTTCAATACATGATAGTTATTTTTTTTCCAGAGAAGACTAGTTAATTGTATTCTCTTCTGAAAAGGCCTGTTGAATGGTATTCTATGAAGAAGACCAGTTTA